ATCCCCAAAAGTACCATATTCAAAATACTTACCTTGAAAAGACTTCCTGCGAATCTAAAGCCATTACCTTCACCTTCCTGATACTGATATGTTGAACCCATCATGATATAGAAATGCCAAAAATCTTGACATCATCCAATGTAAACCTCGGTTTCTAGCAAATTACACATCTTGAAGATCCCCAATTTTTACATATAAATGTTGAATCCATTAGAACTATTCTCGAGAGTCATCCAATCTACTTAGGTCTCAATTAAACTGATCAAACGAACCGAACGACTTGTGCCCCATTAGTACAGCAACACCTAAGGAAGTAACCCATTCTTCTAAGCTGCCGAGTGATTTCCTACTCCATACCCGTTACATCCCTTACAACAACAACTAATTCATCCAACGTTTCTCATATACCCATAAAGCATAACACAACCCTTATCCAAAATTTTCTTTACTCAAATCATCCTTGATCTCAACCTCTGCAAGCCACAACTGATTCACAGTATGCCTCAAACTGAAACCAATACAACACATAACCGTGCAATCAACTGATCAATAGCAGACTCCCCCACTTGGCTCAAAGCCATAGATCAAAACACATAAAAACTCACAATGCCCATACTCTATTATTGCCATAATACCATAGTGAGATTCAACTAAATCCTTCATAAGCTCATGCAACACAAACCATCTAGTATTTCAAATCATCTGCAACTCTCGCATTCACCCTCGTAACAGTCAAGCCCACTCTCATAAGCGATCCAAACTCAAATTGCAACACGTATGTTTCTCTGGTAAAAGAGGACTCCCAAGAAACAACATAGGGATCACACAAACCTCAGAATACTCCGCAGGAGATAACCCACATGCTTAGCCTCACACTGGTATCTCTCTATACTCCACCATAATCATAACTATTACGCAATCACTTAATCCCCCTGAGTCTGAACTCATAACACAACATGAAGATCTACCTCACCCCACAACTGAACTATATTAGAGGTCCTTTAACACACCCATAGCTCGAGGAGATACGCCAACTCAAGACAGAAGTCAACACCCAATAGTCCTTGCTACATCTCCAGCAAACTCTTCTTGCCACATTCGAACAATCTGAACACATCTCGTAATCAAATCATACTCACCCCATAGTCATCCAGTCATAAATCCCACCATTAAGGACACAAACAGACATATAAGTCCCAAGTGCACGTGCTCACACAATCAAAATCTCAGTACTCAAGCCACAGACAAAACCCGACCTCAAGTCCTCCAAACTGGCCCATCATCAACATGCCAAAACCACATCTCGCACCTCAACCATGGAACTCACAAGCCGTCGATGCACAGCTGATACCGAGCGCTTTTGTACGCATACGACTGCTTGGAAGGAATTCAAAGAGTTACACTTCAAGCTGAATTAATACCGCACGATAAGAATTCAAGAATGTGAAGTTTTCTAAGGGTTCTGCAGCCTCTCGAAGATAAGTACAGACGTCTCCGTACCGATCCGCAAGACTCTACTGAGCCTGCTCATGACTCGTGAGACCTATTTAACCTAGGCTCTAATACCAACTTGTCACGACCCAAATCTACCATGTCGTGATGACGCCTATCGTGGTACTAGGCAAGCTGACACATTACCAAAACCAATCAATATTTCTATTTTTAAGATAAATCAAGTTATTTAACAATAAACCTTCATAAGGAGTTTAAATCAAAGCAACAATGCGAAAAGAAAGCCCGACATCGGGGTGTCACTAGTCATGAGCATCTACTAAGAACTGTTCGATAATACTAGACCAATAGAATCTGGAAAACAACTAACAACATTTATAGGAAGATAGGAGGGAGAAGAGCAGGGCTACGATCGCCATGCAGCTACCTTGCTAACTCCGACAGATCTGCCATAGATGATATCAACACTCGCTAGCACGTCCAGCAACCTCTGGATCTGCACACAAGGTGCAGGGAGTAATGTGAGTACGCCAACTCAGTAAGTAATAAAAGTAAATAAAGACTGCGCAGTAGGAAACACATAAAGTCCAAATTATGAAATCTCAGTAAGTACAACATGCTTTCAAATCAGTATGTGAGTCAAATCATCTCGTTTAAAAATCTTGTTTCACTAAAACCGTTTTAACATCTTTCAACAATTTTTCCAACAAAGTGATGAAATAGTGAGTAAAAATGATGAAACATAAACAGCCCTTCGGGAAAACATCACTCGTGAACAGCCCCTCGGGCAACCTCCAATCGCTCGTAAACAGCCCCTCGAGCACAACATGAATCAATAACAGCCCCTCGGGCAAAACATCATATCACTCACTCAAGGTACCCGCGCTCACTGGGGGTGTGCGGACTCTGGAGGGGCTCCTACAGCCCAAGCGCTATAATCTGCACGGACAACTCACATGCTGCACGGACAACTCACGTGCTATAACATCACTATCAGAATCTGCACGGACAACTCACGTGTTGCACGGACAATTCACGTGCCATAGTCTCAATATCTCACAATCAGGCACTCGGCCTCACTCAGTCATGAATCAGTAACAACATGTTGTGGCATGCAACCCGATCCCATAAATATCCTCACAAATCAGGCCCTCGGCCTCACTCAGTCATAAACCTCTCAAGCCACTCGGGCTATCGATAAAAATAGGGTGCTCAACCCAAAATAATATTTTTATATGTATCAAAACGAGGTAATAAAGACTGAGTTATGAAATCAGTAAACATAGCATGACTGAGTACAGATTTTCAATCAAAACAGTGAGAGGATAATAAGAAAAGGCCCCTAATCCAAACAGCTCTGGCGCAAGGCCCAAATATGGCATTCAGCCCAATTTATAAAAATTCTTTCTAAAACACATAAGTATCGTATAATTTCAGTCAAATACGCAACTTTATAGTTGCTACAGGATGAACCAAGTCACAATTCCCAATGGTGCACGCCTACATGCCCGTCACCTAGCATGTGCGTCACCTCAAAGTAGTAAAACAATGTGAAATCCGGGGTTTTATACCCTAAAGACTAGGTTTACAATCATTACTTACCTCAAACCGATCAAATCCCTACTCCGCGATGCTCTTGCCCCTCGACTCGGCCTCCAATCGCTCCGAATCTATTCACAACCATAACAATACCATCAATATACGCTAATGGAATGAATTTCACAAGAAAAACTATCAAATTAGGCCCAAATCCTCTCAACCCGACCCCGGGCCCACGTCTCGGAATCCGACAAAAATCACAAAACTAGAAAGCCCTTTCACTCACGAGTCTATACATACAAAATTCATCAAAATCCGACCTCAAATGGTCCCTCAATTCTTCAAATCAAACTCTTCAATTTCCAAGCCCTAACCCCTCAATTTTATCCCTAATTTCTTTTAATTACATGCTTAAACAACTGAAAATCACCATAATCATGAGTATTGAGTTCAAGTAGCTTACCTCCACGAAAATCCCCTTGATTCACTTTTCAAAACCCTCCAATAAGCTCCAAGCCCGACAATAATGGTGGGAAATACCCCAAATTTCGCGAAGTCTCCAATTTATAGGTTCTGCCCAGTAAAACCGCATCTGCGGTCCCATTCCCGCATCTACCGGACCGCTCCTGCGAAAATCTTTCCGCTTCTGCGGAATTTCATTACTTGAGATATGATTGTCGTTACCGAAATGAAATTTCATGCTTTGATAAGAATCGATATGCCCTAAACTGTTTTAAAAATATTTTCATACGAGTATTTACTGATTACAAGGACAAGTATAAATGGGAGGAGACTTTGAAGGATCCCATAGCTAACGACAGGTTCGTTAGACCTGATGCACCTTGTAAATTCTGGATTACCGATTACCGTTACAACTCTCGCTAGTGGGAAAATAGAACTAGCATACCGTTACTGAGTTCCTCGAGTAGGGACTACCGTTGTATTTGACTTCTTGCGAAGAGGTCCACAGTTATACCGATTACATGATCCATTCCTGGAGACCTCCCAAACATACTAATTGATATGATACAATATTTACCGTGTTGATTACCCAATTGTTGATTAATTGCTGTCTACACGAAATACATGATGAGACTGATTATTATTTACTGGTTCTGGAAGGGCATTTTATGATATTTTTTGATTATTAATATACATGCATACTTTTTGACTTGTCCCATTAAAAACGGTTGTGGTTAAGTGTTTAGCGACTTACTTTCCGTTTTTTTTTACAGCGATAGTAGTTGCACATGCGAGAATTTTGTTAGCTAGAGATACGAGTTGATAATTCTAGTGAGCCCCGCATTGCTTCGCGTAGGCAAAAAGTATATTTAACGGTTATTGTTCTTTTTTTTTAAAACTCGTAGAGTCGTTCCGTAGTTATTAATTTATTGTTTTAGACTTGTTGACTAGATCACACTTTCTTATCGTATTTTGGAGATAGATTTAGCATCAGTCTCTTGCAAGTGGTTGATTAATAGTGGTGGAGAACTGACTGGATAGTCGATGAAGATTATGAATTATTTTTGTTGGATATTGGTTGGTTTATTGTTGCTTATGGGACAAGCAATTTGTGGATAGTCAAAATAAAGAAAACTCTGTTCGATTTTCTGTAAATTACCGATGAGGCTTACTTGGGGGCACTTGCTTCTATGCGATCCTAATTTGGGTCGTGACACAACGATCTTGTGATAAATGTGAAACAATCTAAGTAGAACAAGATATCGTGATTGGAAAAAGCTTATCCGCCTAGTGTATTTATAAAACCAAAAGAGGCGAGACATATGTTGAATAAAACCCGTAATGTTTGATCACTTACTATACTTTATGTAAATATATTGAACACATCATTCCTAAAAATGTGAAACTAAGAAAATAAATTCCTTCGAAAACTAAGCGAATAAGTTGTAATATGATAAAAGAAAAAGAAATTATTTTGACATTTATGTCAATTATGTCATCGTTAAAAAGACATGATATAAGAAAGAAATATATAGTATAAATGTATTTTGGTAATAATTTTATACAAAATAAGCAATATTGGAGTCGTCTAGTCCTTCACGAATTTCAAACGTACAGCCCAGATTCCTTGTAGCGGGTTCATGGGCACTAATTCCCATTGATTTCCAGTCCAATCTCCCTCGGCTGCAAAATCTTGCTCTTCTCCCCTTGACTGGTAAGTTCTCCTTTTGTTTCTGAGATAAACCCCAATCCCTTTTTCAAATTACTGTATAATCAAATTCAGTCGTCCCAAACTGGCCTTTGTGTGGAGAGGTTAGTATGTTCCTCCTCTATGTAGTTTTTTATTTGGTCTACCAAAATTAAAAGTTTGTACAGAGGGGTTTGTTCATAGTGCATTTCACTTTGATTGAAGGTATTTACTTAAGCTTACAGATTTCTTTATGCTTGATTTGGCATTAAATTTCATATAACTGTACATGAGCTGTTATGTCCTTTTGTTTAATTTTCTCATTTTAATTTGATCTTCCAGCACCAATTTATGTCATCTTAGTATTATTCTCTATGGATTGTTGTTATTCCTACTTGTTGCCATTACTTTTTTTCATCCGTTCTCCAGCCGAAAGTCTATTGGAAACAACCTCTCTGCCCTTCTAGGGTACATCTTACCCTCCCCAGACCCTACTTGTAGGAAATTACTGGGCTTCTTGTTGTTGTTGTTGTTAGTATTATTCTCTATGGATTGTTTAGAAGCAACCAGATCAAACAGATTTATTTATTTATTTTGATAGTTGTGGTGTCCGGGCCAGCTTGCACACACCTGAACTAATTCCACGGGATATCTGCTACCTCCCACCAGCAACAGGTACAAGGTAACTCTAAATGAGATCAAATAGATTTAAGTATTTGTATTCTACTAGTTTAATATATACCCTTTAGTTTCTTACTTGTTTTACCCCTAAATAAATTTTCGATAGTATCCTTGTTCAAGAATTTCTTGCTCAGCATGTCCGATCTGTTATAAATGATTTTAGGCACTTTATGTAATGGCATTGCCCACCCCAACTTATTTGGGACTGAGCGTAGTTGTTGTATATAGTAGCATTATGTAATTTGGATGTGTAAGAACCATCTTTTTGTGAGGATTGTCTACTAGGTTGTGACAAAATGATCCTTCTCATCCATATTGTTTACCATGGAATTTCTCAGGCTGGGGAAGCAAACTATTAGTTATTTCTTCATCCAAGGAATTGGACTCGAGTATAGGTTGGATATTCTAGGTTAACTTTTTCAGCCTGACTGGTTAGAGAAAGAAATGTTAGCACCGTCTTAAAACTGGTGTTTCTGCAGTAGCATTTTGGAGAGAAAGCCAAACTTGAAGTAAAGTATCCTATTTTTTGCACTATCCAAAGTTTTGACATGTGATTATCAAGTTATTTAAGTGTCCCAACAAAGAAAAAAGAATTGTCAAGGGCTGCTTTTATGAATTCCCTTCTACTTGTGTCATTAGCCTTCCTGTATTTCTAATTTTAGGGTGAAGGATCCATCCTTTCCTCTATTTTACCTAATATGTTAGAAGAAACTGAGTCAATTGTGATTTATGAAATATTCTGCAAAAATGCATTTTAATAGGGGGAAGCATTATATGGGTGAGCTGTCATTTTTTCACTAATTGCTGTTTGTTTTGCAGCTGAAGCCTTAGGTAAATCATGGTGAACGCCATCAAAGGATTGTACATATCATGGTAAATTACTATTTAGAGCAAGCAAATATAACCAAATATATTAGAAACTAAATGGGTCAGAACGCCCAAGATCTTGATTTGGGCTAAACTCATGATTTCTACATCTACTGTAATTAAATTGGTTTAACTACGCGTATTTATAAAGACTACTGTATTCATTTTATCTCTATTCGAGTCTTCACATAGAATTACTACTCCAGCTTAATTTCAAATATCTTTGCTTCTTTTAGAATGCTGAGATCTGTTTTTTCCTTTGCAGTGATGTACCCATGGCGCAGTTCATTATAAATATGAATGCTGCATTGCCCCAATCACAAAAGTTTATAATACAGGTCTTGGACAATACACATCTCTTTGTACGATCTGATGTTGCTGGAATGATTCGTAGTGCTATTGCAGAATTTAGAGAGGCAAATACCTATGAGAAGCCAGCTTAGGCTGTTTGATAAAGTCAAGCCTTTCTGGAATAAACCTTGGACCATGCAAGTGTCCAAGATTTTTTTTTAAAAACAAAACCCCAAATAGTCATCTCTGTGACATCTACGAAGTAATTGATGGACGATATTTGCAGTTCCAGCTTTCATTGGTTCTGCTTCTGATTTTGTCTAAGGTGCGAGTTAAATTAAATTCTGTGTCTGAACATTTTTTGTACTGTTTTCTGAACATGTTACTATATATTTCTCACATGTTCCCCCGTGATAAGATCTTTGTATTGAAGAGATACTTGGATTTTCTGTTGTGTTCTATCAGTTGTAAAGCAAAATGGACCAAGGTGTAGTGTTCTATCAGTATATTTTCCCTTTTTTCAATTCTAAAAATTGGTGATTTCTTTTGGAGTCCTACAAATTATGAAGTATATGCTCTCGAACAAGGATTCGGAAGTTGTCACCTCAAACTATTAGTTGCAGTCACTTAACAAGCTTTTATTGTTCAGATTGTTTTGGAGTTATCTTATCATTGACCCTTATTTAGAAGAAAAAGAAAGGGAAAAGGAGAACACAAGAAATAAACAAAGCCATAGCTTTGGATTTGCTCTCATCTCTTTAACAATACTTGCGATGTGAATGTGAAGAAATATTGGTCCATTCATCCATGTTAAGATATATTCGATCATGTTATAATCACTTATTGTAACATGCATATTCGCCGAGGGTCTACCGAAAGTAGCCTCTCTACCTAATCAGATAGGGGTCTCTCTACCTGATCAGATAGGGGTTAGGTCTGTGTATGGTTTGTTGTTGTTGTAACATGCATATTCAAATGACTTAAGCCGGCTCAAGTGTTTCAATGTTCAAGAAGCTCTTGAATATCCCCGTATTAAGGCAGATGCTTCCCAAAGGATTCCACAGAAGGTCTTGGTTAGCTGCATGTATTGGGCGCAGCCAAAATGGCTGATGGCTGTGGTATGGCTTTACATTGTAGTTAAGGTTGCTTGTTTACCCCCAAAAGAACTTGTAGTCCAAAAGAAAAGTTAAACTATGACCATAGTCGAAGATAGTTTTGCTGCGAGGTGTAAAAATTCATGAGTAAATCCCCCATAGGAAATAAACAGCTGGAAAAACAAAGAAAGTGAAATTTACTGAAAGCAAAGAGAAAAACCCACAAAGGAAATGCTACAATACTTCTGACGCACATGTGCTTTGACAAAATTTAAAGTGCTAGACTTGCCATAAAGGCAGCCACACAGTTCGGAAAAGCCAACAACCAAATATTTGACACTAGAAAGAAAACCTCATCTATGCTGAAATTATTTGTTGGGATCATTATACATCTACAATTCTACAATGAGACACCAGACGGGAAGGGGAAAAAACAAACTTTCTAGAAAACTAGCTAATTAGTAACAGACCTCACTGGAAATGGACATGCCAGCACAAGGTTTAAAGAAAAACAACAAAGAGCTAGGAGTGAGGTGGATCAATAGGAAGTGAAAGAAATGCAACTATCGTAGTTCACGTTAACTGATAAACTCCATTTTGACTAAACCCTATGCAGGCTGAGATACATTGATGTCAGCAGGCTTATTCCTCGAGTCAGGGGCCAATGATGACCAGTCATCTTCATGGAAGGAAGAATATGATACTACAGTTGGTTTTGCTGATGAGTGATAGGCGTTTTCCGTATCTGTACTAGATAGAGGAACAGCTGCAGTTATGGGCTCGGATTTGTTTTTCTTGGTCGTCTGCTCATGCTGAATTCCAGCAAGGAAGCTGCCCACAACAATCTGATCCATACAAACCAAGAGAGAAATGCTAACTGTCATAACTGAAAAACCACTATGTATTGGAAGTACTTTGCTAATTTGTTCATGAGAATAAATACATCTATTTGTCGTATAAGCACAACGTCATTCCTATGCATAAACAGCACACTAAATATGGGAGAATCAATACCTGCACAGGACTGGCAGCTACCAATAGACCTGCAACTCCGCCACCAATAACACGTCCATCAGGGCTTGCCAGAGACACACTCATCCCTCCAGATCTGTTTCTCATTCCTCCGGTCTCGGATTGGATAAATGATCCCGTCAAAGACAGTATCTCAAACCGGCCCTATAGGACGAATGGTAGTGGGAGTTTATACATAAATGTCAACCATAGACGATAAACAGAAAGAGAAATGACATTTCATCTATAATGCCAATCACAAACTGATTTCAGGGACTTGGATGATACCATAGTCTACGCGTACAATACAAGCCACATAGTCCATACTAGACACTGAAGAATGAAGGCACAAGTTTTAAGGTAACAAAAGCATTTTGCATAAAGGATTGCACCAATAAGATCAATTTCCTAAATGTGACTGTTCTTTCAACAAGTTACATCCCTGCCCTCAAAGTGATCATTCTTTCACTAAATAGGATCAATGCCCTCAATCTAATTAGTCTTACACCAGTCTTCTTCAACCAATACAAGCCAGTCATTCCAAAGTCAAATACAAAGCAGGCCATGCATAGCCATTGTCAACAAATTTGTGCTCCCCCTCAACAATAACAATTATTTTAAGGAAACGGATTACAGCTGATGGAAGTATGCTCATAAATATGGCATGAAGCCACAGTCTTTTAATTACACCGTTTCTTTTTCATTGGTACGGTCTTTTAATTACACTTACCAACTGCAGCTAGATCTAATCCCAGAACTTGTTATTTTCCGTTATTTTTATAACATATGTGATTTTAATGAGTTATATTGAGCTATCAGGGTTTAGTTCAACAACTTTTACCAACACTTGATTACTTTTTTTTAACTAAAGGAATATATTCACTAATAAAGGGATAAAAACTCCCGTAAGCAAGAGGTATGCATAAAAAAAGAGAACCTACAAAAATAAATGGTTCTCTACATCAGATACTCGAAGAGGGATGAAAGACACCTAGATGCAATGCTAAAATGTCTACGGCTCTTCATTTGATTGATTGCTAAAAGTGAAGAGTCCTACATCATTTGATTGGCCAAGAGGAATAACAAAATAATGGAGTATCACGCCGTAGAAGCCAAGCTCAAATGTCTATGGCTCTTCAACAATGATACGAAACAAAAAACGAGAAGATTAACCATAGCAAGAGCAAAGTAACTAGTTGCAACACCTCATATGTTAATGTACCACCAGATGAGTCCGGTTGGCGAAGTGTGACACTGGAGATTACACCATTTGCTGAGAGAATGCATATTGCTCGAGGCCCTTGTTGAGAAAATGATATAACCTTCATGGTGACATCCTAAGGAATTTATCATAAAACGAAATATAAGCAATTTGTTATTCATATGAATTCACAAATAGCAAAGTCGCCTCTTTCTTCAGTTACAGATGGGGGTTTGGGGGGGGGGGGGGTTAAATTGCATTATCATTGGTCAGGTGAAACCATGAACTGCCATTTCCAGGTATTTCAACTTTTTCTGAATCAATCATCAAGTTTGTTTCTTACTGAATGAAATCATTAGATGCAACAATTTCGAAAAACTAAGAAATCTAGTGTAACCAACAATGTAAAATGGATTGGGAAAGAGATGCATCATATCTCAACTGAAAGAAAGATCAAAAGGAGATTGTACATGGAACTCATTATCATGCAGACTTTAGTCCTGCCATAAGGAGAACTTCCATAGGCACTAGTTATGGCTAACATTTTACCTCTCCAGTGTTAACAGTGATAATATGGGGCGTAAAACTAGCACCGACCGAGCATGAAACCCATTCACCTACAGAAAAGACTTAATATTAGTAACGTGACATGAACCTTCAGATATACCAACATTCAACTACAGAACCATATTTCATGTTTGGATGGGGAAAAGAAAACCGAATTCACATCTCTTTTCTGTAAAATTAGAAACTTCTCGTTTATGACCTGAATATTATTACATGATGCAATCATGAATTACCTAGAGTAAATGGTGCCTGAACAAAACACAGCCACACCAACCAAAAAAAAAAAAAAAGAAAAAGAAAAAGAAAAAGACAGAAATCATTCAAGTAATTTCAACTACTTGCAAATATTTTTGAACATACAACTTATGCTTATGATAGAAGTTTAGAACATTATCTGCAACCTCTGCCAAAGAGAAAAAGGGAATAGGAAACAAAGTCTTAGTTTGTTACAGAATTCACAAAGAGACACATTTCAATCATAATGTTTTATAGTTATAAATATTTGAAAAAATTGTATTCAAAGAAAAAATGTTTTGGCTCTCTAAACAGAAATTGTCATTATTCTTGGGATAGACAGAGCCCGACAAAGGAGTATGAAATAAGAAGAAGTAATCCAAATGTACAAATTCTTAACTATACACAATTAGTAAGAATATGTTGTAAAAATAAACCTACACTTACATAACAAAGCAGATGCATTCTCACCCTTAATGGTGGAGAAAGTAAAAAATCTACAGACAGACTTCCAAAGATAATAAAGTAGAGGATAAATGGCAGCATAGGTAAATCAAATAAGGCACCAATTGCTTAAGTAACTGAAAAAGGCATAGAGAAACACAAGAAAATAACTTGAGTTAATTTCCAAGAACATATGAACATGCTAGTATAAAATGAAAATCTGTTTATTCACAAAAAATTATTAGAAGCATCTGTATCACATGAAGCCCAAGGTAAGGAACTTCTGGAAACTTTAGTTACTTAAAAGTCACAGCAGGAAGTAAAAGTAGCTGAAATATCAGGTATGTCCAGGGGAGGATGCAGCAAGCGAGTGCCGGGTTCAACTGAACCCAGTACTTTTGATGCGGAGCATAAATTTATATGTAAAAATCTATTAAAATTATGAAAAATAGTGAATATGAACCCATAACTTTAAATATACTATGGGTTCAATGTTAAAAGATAAATGTTGAACCCATAGAGTTTAAATCCTAGATCCGCCTCTGGGTATATCGTTTAACATAACTCCTTTCCTTTATAAGGAGTAAATTATGGAGGTTAAGACTAACCCCTGCCACTTATCTTTAAGCAGTAGATCAGTGAGTGTACTTGTTTAGTCTTATTCTATTACTAGCAGCAACTCTATACCAAATCTAGAAAAATCAACTTCAACATTTACACTCATGTCCAAAATGACACCTATAAGTTTAAGATTCCCTACTTCTCAGACCAGCACAAATATCTCACAGGTCCCACGTCTACACACACACACACTCTTAAATCCAAACACCAAACACTAATTCCACTAATAAAAACAGATCAAAACATATACTCCTACTACAAAACTTAGAATATCTCAATATAACTAAACAAAAAAAAAATCATTAATCTAACAGACTTTTTTTACCTGAGTTCTGAACATCAGCTTTAGGCTGATAGACCTTAAGAGCTGACCCAACAGGCCGGACTTTCGCCCGTTTCTCCGACGAAAAATCAATGACCGGAGATGGTGCAGCGGATGAAATGGGCTTAGGAGAAATGACAGACGTGGGTACTGACCCATCTGGCCCATATTTTCTGGGTCTACCTCGCTTTTTCTTCACTGTGGTCAGTGCTAAAGCAGCAGAATCTGTGGTCAGTGCTGGTGTTGGTGAAACTGATACACTCACCTGGGCCCGGGCTGCTCCTGCTACTGGTTGAGCTGCTGATCCAGTCATCACCTGGGCAGAAGGATTCTCAGTGGTGGTCCTAGGTGCCATATGGTAGTGTGACGGAGCATCTGATCCCACCACTCTTACTCCACTACTGCTACTCATATTTTCCCTTCCTTCCATACTTAACCCAAATATTCCACCAAAAAAAAAAGAATCTCCTTTCTACTTCTTCTATTCCAAACACCAAAAAAAAAAAAAAAAAAAAAAAAAAGAGCTCTCATTAGAAAAAGAAAAAAAATCCAAATAAATGAAGCTTAAATTTTGCTGAGTTTGAAGTCTTACCAGGTTCAACAGTAATACTGTTCGTTTTTCTTTTTCTTTTTCAAAAATTTGAGATAAAAACACCAAAGCAACTGATGGCTACGATCAGAAAATTTTACAAAATTTTGCAGCTATTTTTCTGAAATGAAGAATGAAATTAAAGGGAAAAGATTGAATTTTTAACTGATGAGAAAATGTGAAATTTTGGAGTTTTGAGGAGTTAAAAAAGCTAATTTAGGTTCCTAACTTTCCTCAGATTGTCCGAGTAAGTAATTTAACGAAATATAATAATAAAGATGGAAAAAGAAATGATTGAATATTAGGTTATTGTAATAATTAATTATTGAAAATAGGGGGAGATTATGTATTTTGTTTAAGAAAATGGTTGGAGTCCGGTAGAAAAAAAATTCTGAAAATGAGTAATTGTAGTTGGGAAAGGTGAAATTAGGTTGCCAATGCATAAAGACAACCATCATTTTTTTCTTCTTTTTCTTTTTAAAGAAAGGAGGAAAGGAAAGAGAAATAAATTAATAAAGTATAGTAAACAATAGGCATGTAGTTTTATGACTATCTTCATCTATATCATTAATTACAATTAATAAACCTTTTTTTTACGCAAGTACAGACAAAAAGGTACGAACATGAATCTGAAAACTATGAAAATTTTGTAGTAAGAGAAAAATTTTATTCGACTTTTCTTTTTCTTTTCTAAATATTCTCTGCTTTTTCTTTTCTACTCTTTTTCTGCAAAACTTGTTAGTGTACTACTTCAGATTAAGAGCAGTAAAACGCCATATTAGAGAAAATGACTAGAATAATTCATTATGTTTTAGGGTAGATTCAAAGTAGGCCTTCAAATATGTTTTGAATAATTTTGGTCCTTTAAGTATACCAAAACTTAATGCTTTTGGTCCATGCAAAATATTTAAGGTACTCTATCTGTTAGGGACTGTTATTGTCGAAGAATCCCTTTTCTTTTTCTTTTAATTCCTATTATATTTTCATTTTCTTGTTTGGTTTGGTTTGGGTTTTTTCCTCTTGAAAGTTCTATTTAGTGTAGGCATATCTTTGGCGTGCAAAATCGATCGCCTTGTTTGGATTTGAAGTATTTCTCCCAATGCAAAACAAGTTTGTAAGTATATTTGTGTTTACCCGTAAAACGGTACAGTTAAATTTATACGTAATTTCTAAACACGCAAACTAATTTGATCCTGGAAATAATAAAATAATTGAAGAATTATGCAATATACCTTAAAATGTGGATGAAACAACAGAGATGACAATTCCGGGAACAAGGTCTCCGGGCACAGCAATGATGAAATCAAAAAACGAGAAAGTAAGATTGTATTAAGCTTTGTATGGAATATAGGGATGGGCATATATTGGGTAAAACCGATAACCCGAACCGTTAATTCTTTATTGGGTTATCGGTATTGGGTTATTGGGTTAACGGTTCGGTAATGGATTAAAAAATTTTTTTTATTGGGTTATCGGTTCGGTCTCGGTTTGCATTTTTGTTATTGGGTAAAAACCGATAACCCAATAAGAATGAAGTAATTTACTAATTTACCCTTAAGTATATACTAGGGTTTTATTTTCCTAATTCCCTCTTCAGTCTTCACTCAATCTTCAGTCGTCTCTCGAGTCTCGTCTGTCTCATTTTGTTTCCGCCGCAGCCCCAAGAGTCAAGAGTCACCACCAGTTCTCCGCCATACATCAGCTTGTCAGTTCTCCGCCAGTCACGACGGCTCACTCCCTCACTCGTCGATCGCATCATGTAAGTTTTGGCTCAAGATTTTTCTGTTTGCTTCTTGTTAATTGTTCTGTTTGCTCAAGATTTTTGCTTCTGTTTGCTTCTGTCAATCGCACCAGTTCTGTCTTCTGTTTGCTCAAGATTTTTTCTTCTGTTTGCTTCTGTCAATCGCACCAGTTCTGTCTTCTGTTTGCTCAAGATTTTTGCTTCTAATTGTTCTGTTTGGTGTCTTCTTAGTTCTCTACTCGTGTGAAATTTCTGGTTAGATGAGTAGCAAGAGTCAGTAGATACTGCACAGAAACATGGCTGAAAATATCAAATTTCTGTAGATTAATCAGCAGATACTGTTTCATTTCTGTAGAAACATGGCTGAAAATTTCAAATTTCTGTAGATTAATTAGCAAGAGTCAGTAGATACTGTTTCATTTTAAGATTTTAAGCTAAATCTGTAGTTATATTCTCATAGATTTTGCCAATCTTGGAAACGAACCCTGCGATGATGATGTGTAGAATCTTAGATAGTTGTAAGTTAAAACTTTGGTAAGTTAATTATTCAACTTATATAACACATTGTATGATTACAAATATTACTTGACTTAATATATTTTCTTTTTATGTTTAATAGGTGTATCCATGCCTCGACTTTGTGGTCTCAAAGCTATCTCACATGTTTGGAGTCACTATGAAAGGATTGAAGACGGTGATGATGGATGGTGGAAAGTAAGATGTAGTCATTGTCATCTTGTTTTATGTTACAATGCACAACAAACTGGTACTAAGTCCTTAATGAGGCATGTTGAGCGTTGTTTGGAGCGCAATTTGGTGAAGCCTATAAGGATTGAGTAGTTGTTGTGTTGTTTACTTGAATTTGAAATATTAGTATTATGTTTGGACTTTGGACTTGTTAATCTTAAGGTTGCTACTACTTCGTATTGTTATTAATGTTGTCAGCTGTAGTTGTACTCAATTGTGTCATATATAGCAGCTTTAAAATTGTTATGGGTGTTGCTCTTTCTTTTTTGGATTATGGGTGTTGTAGTTGTTATAGCAGCTGTGTCGTTATAGCAGTGTCTGTGTCGTTATAACAGGCTAGCAGCTGGATTTGGTCTGAAGTTTCTCTCTTCAGTTGAAAGCAGTAGCTGCGCTATTGATTTAGTGCCTATTATTTCCATTGATTTTGCATTGCAGAACTTAAGGAACTTTCTACAATATATTATCTCAGTATTTGTGCTTTCTGCAGCAGCATTTCCAGTCTACAATATTGGGAAGCCTAATGGCCTCTCTAGAATAAACGTCCTCTGTTGTTTAGCGAATTAAGTTCATCAGTATGATATGGAAAAGTTCTGTAAATTGATTTTCTGTCTCTAATTTATAATGACAGTAAGAAACACATTAGCATCATAGTTCTGTCTCTAATTTACTCACGTGAAGGTGCTTTTAATTTTCAAAGCACTTTTAATTTTCAGCGTTCAGCACTTTTAATATTCAGCGTTCAGCACTTTTAATTTTAGTTTTACCTTATCGGGTAAACCGATAACCGAACCGATAATGATCAATAACCGATAAACCGATAACCGATAACCAATATCTTATCGGTTTGGTTATCGGGTTATGATATTTGTAAACCGATAACCGATAGGCAAAACCGATAATTTTCAAAACCGAACTGAACCGACCGATGCCCACTCCTAATAGAATGTAGTGTAAGTTTGCCAGAAAATTCGTGTCATTTACAATGATAACTAAGCTCACTATTTATAGCTGTGTCTAGGGAAGGAGGTCCTAGGATCGTGTCCACCTTTAATGTCAATTATGAGGGTCATTGATGAAGATGTAACAGTGGACATAAATGTCAAATTCCTTGTAACGGGCCGTCGCTCTTAATGCCCAATGATAGGCTATAATTACGTATTTTAGGCGCTTATTACACTCTAATTTACTGCACTCTAATTGAGTTTGAGCTTTAATCGCTAGTGTATTGCACTAATTGTGTGTTTTATGCCTTGTAGGAGTGATTCCGAGCCATGTAGATATTATGGAATGAATTCAAGTGATTTGGAGTTTTGAAGTCTGAGTAAAAACCCAAGGAATTAAGCCGGGATCGTGTTCGGGGATCAATGGATGATAGTTAAGAACGAAACGGAGAATCGAGCGGGCATAAAGCATATTGTCTAATAAAATGCACATAACTTTTCGCTCAGAATTCCGTTTGGGCTCTACAATATATCGTTGGAAAGCTATTTGAAAGGGATACAACTTTCATGTTTTTCATTTTCGCTAATTCCCACTACTGCGCCGCATCTGTGCGCCACAGCGTGCGCCGCATCTGTGCAATTTTCCAACAATCCGTCAGAAAACAGCTCTCTGAACTTCCTCACAAGTGTACCGCACTGTGCGTCGCGGGGTGCGGCGCGCCAGTGCAAATTTTACAGAGCCAGAGTCCTATTTCGCACAGGAAAAGGTGTTTCATCTGGGCCCGACCCTACTTGGTATAAATACATATAAAAACGCTATTTTGAGGAATGGGGACATACTTTGGACAAACTTTAGACCTAGGGAGAGAAGGGAGCCGCCGTGGAGGTCGGGGATTCGACCTAAGGAGGAAAGAACGCACTAGGAGCAAGGCGAAGAATTCTTCTACGAGTTTTTCACTTCCTTCTTCCTATTTTCATTATTGGTTATGAATTCTAGTATTGTAGTTTTGCGTACTATTATGAATAGCTAATTTATTATCTAGGGTTTTGATGGAACCTATTGGATGATGATTTTCCTGTTACGTTAGTATAGATTTGTTGTAGTATTTTCTCTATTTGTTCAACTACGTTATTATTTTGGTTGGTTGAAGAGCTCTCAATTGACTGTGCCTATTTAGTATGTATTACTCGGGAGAGAGTGCATATTTAGGTAGTTGTTGAACAACATCACTCCTAACGTATATGAGGGAACAATACGGAGGGTTTAAAGGTGGGATTAGGGATAATGAAACCTTGGGTGCGATCCGAGTGAGCCGTACTTAATGCCAGCCAGCGTAATTCGGGAGAATATGTCTAGTAAATTGTGGTAATTACTCGGGAGAGATTTACGACAGTTAGAGTACTCATGACCGGTAGAGAATACTTAGGCGAATTTATAGAAAACGTAGCGGGAAGGATTCCGACAATAGGAGAATTCATAACTCTATACCTCCTTAATCTTGTCTCTAACCCTTAGTATCATTTGTTGTTAATTTGCTATTTTAATTTGTTAGTTAAACACAAGAATCTTGATATCTATAAGTTAGGAATTGTTCAAGCTTGTCTTCTTGGTGATATTGAACAGCTGTAGCTAAGCCTTAGTTCTCTGTGGGATTGGACTCCGGACTTGTAAACCGGATTATATTTACAATGGCCGCTTAGTCCTTTTTATAAGGCATAGTTGGGCGTGATCAAATTTCGGCGCCGTTGATGGAGAACTAACGGTATAGCTGTAGGTGTACATAATTTTAGGTTGCAAGTTTGAACTTTTATTTTTGTTTTCTTGTATTTGATTATTTTTTATTTTTTTGAATTGAGAGACATGACATCTTGGAATTATGAGAGTTTTGATGTTGGTAACTCTACTTTTGATCCTCCTTATGCATGTGAAGGAAACCACCCATTGCAAAATTGTGAAAATTTTCCCGAGAGCGAGTTATGTGCACC